GTTTAAGCCCCGAGTTCTTCCATTCCTGGCATGGAAACCTGGCATCCAGGATTTCTCAAAATAGATTTGAGATTTCAGCAATTTGGGGGTTAACAAACCCTTCTTTAATTTTTCTGTTTGGGAATCAAACTTTTATTTTGCTCTTTTCACTAGTAGTTTTAAAACAGTTTCAATCAGGTTCTGTTGCTACAAAATTCGTACAAATAACCCATGTCAGTATCTTGGTAAATACTGAACCATTAATTTTAATCTGGATTTTAATATGGAATCATGGGTGTGAATACTTTCAGTAATTATAAATAAAATGGAGGTATTTTCATTGGAGACAAATTCTGGTTTTGGAAACCTTCAAGTGTAAGGATGTCTAGATGTATTAGACCCTCAATTTATATCTCTTCATTCTTTTTTTATAACAATGCTGTATAAGGTAGATATAACTGTCTTTTCATAAATGAGGAAATCGAGGTTTAGATAAACAAAATTACTTGCCAGTAGTCGTACAGCTAGTGAATGGCTCAGCCAGGATTCTCCCCCAGGTCTGACTCCCAGTGCCACTTGGTCATCACCACTTGGTCATCACCACTTTTTCAAGTGTCCAGATCTCTGCCAAGCATGGCCGTTGTTATGGTCATATCAGTGGTGGGATTCATGCTTTCTGAGATCCCACATTCTATGGCAGCAATGTAAATGTAAAGTACTGTTCACTCCAGAATCTATTTTGAGCTTTATGCTTTCTATAATAATATTCTACCCATTTAGTTTGCATGCTATTGCCTTTTTTTTTTCAATCTAGCTTATAGCATTTTAAAGGTTGAAAGTTCGACTTGTGCCTATTTTTCAAAATGAGACTAGTGCTGACAATCAGATTGTAGTTAATGGGTAATTTATTTTAAATTTTCTTCAAAGTTGTAACATTCACATTATATCCCATTTAAAAATATTATATCATAAAAAACATTATATATGCTTGCTAGTTATTTTTAAACATGTACTTTCTTGTAATTGACTTTTTAATAGGTAATAAATTCAGTTGGCTTCAAATTTAAAGAGGCAGAAAACAATAATAATTGCTAACTAGGACAATGTAGCACTTACTGGGTGCCAGGAGTGCATTTATCTAAGCATTTGTAATGTGTTAATAATCTTCCCCACAGTGATCTGATAGGTACTACTGTTATCCCCATTTTGCAAATGACCGAACTGAAGCACGAGAGGTACATCTGATCAGATGGGTCTGGGTTTTGTCATTTGTCAAGTGTCACTGCCTTTGGAAAGCCACAGATGAGCACAACTCTCTTTTCTAGGCTGGATTTGGTGCTTACCCTACATGCACTGTGTTTTTTGTTTTATTTTCATTGCAACTCATTATGGTTCTCAATCATTTCCTTCTTAGACTGAAGCTTCCTCAAGACGGGCACCCTATGTTATGCTTAGGTGTGGACCCAGGGCTTGGCACAGTTCCCAGCACTGGCTAATACTTACCCACTGCTTTGCCAGGACAAATTTTCCCATTTTAAAAATGGATAGATCTGCTCTGCCTTCTTTACAGAATTATTCAGAAAATCAAATGAGAATTCACAGCTGTTTGTCAGCTTCAGAGCTGTTTGTCAGACTACACAAATAGATGTTAAACCGATCATGGAGTGCACTCTATGTGCTTAATGAAGACTCCTGCTTCAAAACCTCTAGATCAGCGGTTCTCAACCTTCCTAATGCCGCGACCCCTTAATACAGTTCCTCATGTTGTGGTGACCCCCAACCATAAAATTATTTTCATTGCTACTCTATAACTGTAGTTTTGCTACTGTTATGAATCGTAATGTAAGTATCTTTTTGTTTTCCTATGGTCTTAGGTGACCTCTGTGAAAAGGTCATTTGACCCCCAAAGGGGTCGCGGCCCACAGGTTGAGAACCACTGCTCTAGATATTAGCACAGGGATTGGCACCCTGGACAAACAGGAGCTTGACAAAATCCAGTGCATTACTGTGAGTTCAGGCCAGCCTGTTTTTTAACCAGTAGTCTTAATGATTTCAAATGATTTTTGTAGTATCTGATTGCATGTTTTTTTTTTTTTTTTTTTACAGAGAGTAGAGAGAAGTGTTTATATCCTGACATTTAAATATTGCAGTTTCCTACTGTCTAGATTCGATTACTGGTTCTGCTATCTAATTCAGTGTTTCTCAATATTGGCTACATGTGAGCATCACGGTGTTGTAGTTTTGCTTTGTTTTTTAACTGGAGATTCTTAAGCTCTGCTTTCTGATTCATGGAACCAGAGTCTCAGGGTGGGAGGAGCAACACAGGTAACTTTGATGAGCAGCAAGGAATGAGATCTGTTCTAAATGTTTTCTAAATACTGTCTGCAAAGATGGCTTAATGTCACCAGAAAATTTTTAATAGGAAACGCAGTTGTTTCATGTTTAATAGCTCTCCAGAGCACTGACATTTATTTTGTTCTTCTGCAGTACATTTTACAGCCCATTTGTGCTGGTGAGTTCAGTGGATACTCTAATTACTCAAAACCATATGGCCATGGCAAGCAGCTGATAAATGGGTTGTGATTTTTTTTTCCAGGCTCAAAAATCATTTTTGCCTTGCTGAGGAGCAATTTGGGGTCTTGGGCCAACCCTCCCTTATTTTGTTTTTAAAAGAAATTGCAGCTTTATATGTAGACATTTCATGACTTGCCATAGAAATAAGGGGCCATATATTCAGGCTGGAGCCTTCAGAAGGCTTATCATTTATCATAAAAGCTGTCAGTCTCACCCTCTGCTCGTCTGATGGTCTGAGTGTGTACCCTGCTCTAAGTGCATGCAGGCGTGCAGGCCAGACTCCCATTGGAGAACCAAACCAGCTGTGGTCTGATACCCAGCTCTTGTCAAAACCTTCGTTACTCAGAATTGTTGGAGGGACAGGCAGTCTGTTTTATTCTGGAGTTATCTTCCCCTGCTTCCCCTGCTTTATTTCCTGTTTACAAAAAGAGAGCTGAGTTTCCAATTACATGCAATAACGGTTACATTATCCAGCGGGACCATTGGTATGGATAATTGAGAATGTTATTATTATTATTATTTAGTAAGTAAGTATAACACTGTATCAATATGTTGAAACTTATTAAAATGAGGCAGATTGGAAAATTATAATTCCCCTTCTTTATCCAGAGATCACATTAAGTACTATTTTTTGTTAAGTGGAAATCCGTCACATTCTTCTCGTTATTTCACAACACGTAGCATGTCTCTACATTTTTTATATTATTGACTCTTGATTTCTGGCTTGTTCCCCCCGAACACAATAGCCATTTGTTCTTTCATCAGAAAACAATAATATTTAATTGATTTGTTTTAGAAATGAGTCATTTTCTCATTCTAACTAAAAACTTGTACATTAAAAAAACAAAAACAGAGAGGCTTTTCCGCAATTTGTGATGGAAACTCTGGAAACCTTTACAAGGGGAGGCAAGATCTGTTGTAACATTATTTCACTTATTTTGTGTCAGGAATGCGTTGGTATCAAATGGCAAAAACCTGAAAGATGGCTTCACTGGCTAGGGATGTATTTGTTTTAACAAATCTCTTGGTGTAGGCGCTGGAGGGCTGTGCCACCAGGGAACAAGGTGCTTTCTATTTTTTAACTCACTCTGGCATCCTCAGAGTACAAGAATTTGTCCTGAGGCTTTTCATCTCAAGGATTCTATCATTCTAAAATGGCTTCTGTGTGTCGAGATGTTATTTCCGAAGAAGATGGAAAGGCAAGGGGTGAAAGTCTTTCTTTTTCCAAAGCTTTTCTCTCCACCCTCCGACCCCAAGCCAGGAATTATTTATATTTTATTGGACAAAAGTATGACATATGGCCCCTCCTAGCTGCAAGGGGAATGGGAAAATAGTACTTTTACTTTTGGCCTGTATAGCAGGAGAGACAGAGAGAAGAAGGCCTGTGAATTGTTATTTTCACAGCCTCTGCCGGAAAGCGTCCTCACTTAAAATGGACCAATACTTTTGTAGTCAGCCTGTAGTATGGCTACTTTTCCCTCATCATAATTTAATTTAGGAATTCAGAGCACATTTAATCTGCACCTGTTCACATAGATAATTCATTTTTTTTATTTACAGATTATGTTTTTAACGTGTTGAGATTATTCATTTGTTAATCAAATTCCCAGACCCTTATGACTAGACAATATATGGCCACCTTTAATGCTTTTAAAATGCAGATCCTGTAGCTTTTTGAACAATTTCTAATTTTTATGAGACAAGCCAAACACAGTGGCTGGCTGTAAGTGTTGAACAAATGGCAGGTTTCATATCAAAAATAGCATTAGAGGAGCTTTTTAAGAATCTAATTGAAGGAAGAGGAAAGTAATAAAATATTGGAACTGAGATAAAATTGTAAAATCAGTAATGCCTGTGTTTGAGAGTCAGTGAGAAAAATAATGTGACAGAGCAGCGGTTAACACCACACAGTGAAACAGAAGCAGCGGACAGAGGGATGCCTTGGGTTTCAGTCCCTGTCTAGTGTGTACGTTTCCATGTAACTTCATCTTCTTGAGCCTTGATTTTTCCTTCCTTTACTATAAATAGTAACCTCACTGTGTCAGCTGGTTTCTCTACCTAGAAACTGCTGAGCACTTTCTAACATGGTAAGTGTTCGTTTCTTTTATTGAATGGATAAAGGTGAAAAAGTGACCAACTTTTAAAAGCCAGGCACGTGTAGTTCAAGACCTGTGTCCCAGCCAACTTATGTTTCATGTGAAAGAAACCGTACTTTATTAATAGCCCAGCTGTCAAGCTTAGAATGGGAACTGTGTTATCATGTATTTAAAGTGACTACCTAAAATTAAAAAAAAAAACTGTTCTCAATGCATTTTTAATCAATTGTTTAATTCCATATACATATGTGTAGTGAAATTTAGTAGGATTTATTGGGTCTTAGAGAATACAGTTGTATTTTCCAAATCCATATTTTTGTTTCTTATTTTTTATATTCTTCTTCAAACTAGGATTTTAAGAGCGGACTTGGTATTACCATAATTCCTATGAACGTAGCAAATATAAAGCAAGTGGACCGAACTGTGAAACAATCCTTCGAAATAATCACCCCCTACAGAAGTTTTAGGTAAGCGGTATTTAAACATTTTGTGTTTATACTACTGCAGGAAAGCTAGGGGTGGGGTGGGGGGGGCACTTACACATTGCTAGTGGTGTTTTTCTTTCTTGTAGGACACTCAGTTAAATGATGTTCTTTTCCAGACTGTTTAATTTATTAGTCATTGTATGTAAACACCTTGTAAGAGCGACTTGAATAATCACGCAACCTGAAAAGATACTAATTTCATGAGATTTCAGTCATTTCTTTTCTTAATACCTATTTTCCTTAGTAGGCTTGGTGAGTATGTTAATTTTTCTTTATTGACAAATATATGAAAACTTCACATTTTGAAGGAATAAAATCAAAAGAGAATAATATGTTGTCTTTAATCTGTATCGTTATTTACCTTTTAGACTCATCAAATACTGTCCCTCCTTTAAGATCCATCTCTAATTATAATTGCTCCATAAACAATTTCCTAAAAGGAACTCCAGCTTAAAATGATGCTAAATTTAGTGGATCTCCCGGCACTTACTGACCAAATACTTTAGCATTTTGTTATATGTCTTGTGTTATGGTATTCTAGTAATTGATTCATTATGACAGTGAAACAGAAAACTTAATGTATGTTCTCAATATGTGTGAATAACCTATAATGACTGCATAGCTTTAATACACAGAAGAGGCATCAGTCAGTGTCTGTGGAGTTCAAGCATATTAATTCATTTGTCACAAATAATCAATATACCACAGGGTACTATGCAGGTCAGAGGTAATTGTCGGAGGCCTTTGAAGGACTAACAATTACTTAGAAATTTCAAAAATACTACCAAGTCTTGTAGTCAATTTACCTATCAAGATATGTCTACTGGCTCAAATTGTAAGTAATAAATGATCACATGAAGAATAACAAGCTTTATTTTCACATATGCAGACTCAAACCATAACTGAAAATGTAGACACTGGCTGATCTTTTTTTACTCACAACACTGTGATACGAAACATGTGGGGTTTTTATTCATACCAACCAATTCTCCAACTCTGGACACCATCAGGGTGTCCTATAATTTAATCCTGTTCTGCCACTAGCTACCAGCATGAGCATCAGACCCCACAGGTTTAAGGGCTCAGTCCCACAAACCGTCCTCACTTCAGACACCAGCCACAAGTATGGGGTTCCCAGGGAACCCACATTTCTGTCCAACTTGGCTATAAATCCAGGTTCCCATGATTCCCTCTCACCCAGGTTTGATAGTTTGGTAGAATGGCTCACAGAACAAAAGAGCCAGTTTAATTATTATGACCAGTTTATTATAAATAATGCAACTCAGGAGTGGCCAAATGGGAGAGCTGCAGAGGGCAAGGTACAGGGGGTTAGAGGTACAGGGGTTAGTGGTGCAGGGGGTTAGTGGTACAGGGCTCCCAGACCCTCTCTGGGTGTACCTCCCTCCCAGCACTGCAGTGTATTCACCAACCCAGGAGCTCCATTAGAGTCTTTTTTGTTTGTTTGTTTGCTTTTTTGAGGTTTCATTCCATGGGCATGATTGATTAAATCCTTGGCCATTGGTGACTGACTCAATGGCCAGTCCCTCCCCCCTACCCCGAGGTCAGGGCTTCGGCTGACTGAAAGTTTCAGCTCTAATCACACCTTGGTCTTTCTGGTGACCATCTCCCATCCTGAATCTGCCTAGGCCCCCAGCCACAAGTTATCTCCTTAGCATACAAAGACAGTTTTATCATTCAGGGAATTCCAAGAATTTTGGAAGCTGGGTACCAGGAACCAGAGGCAAAGACCAAATATCCCTTTTTCATTGTACCATATTGGCTGTGACCAATCTTGAGAAACAGAAACCACTAAGAACTTCATAAATAGTGTCATGATAATGGAACTGTAAAGCACTTCAAAAAACATAATCCATCTAGGCCATTCAGTTTTCTTATAGATTGTTTAGAATGTTTGTCGTCTGTTATTTTCATTATATTTCAAAGCATTTTCATCTTCAGAACAGAACATTTTAATGCGAGGCATCATTCTGTGAGCCATTGACTGAGTATGGAGCACATTTCCTGGCACTTTGTAGATACTCAGGAAATATTTCTTGAAGGATTGAACTGATGTTTAATGTTGTATCCCTTCACTCAGGTACCCAGTACACACTACATATTAGAATAGATCAAAACATGGCTAAAAATGAGTTCAAATTCTTTTAGAATAATAATCACTTAAAACTCTTTTGATTTCTCAGTTTCTTAAAGCCATCTGTACATTTTTCTAATTAAAAAAGAATGCATTTTTGATACTAAAACATTTAAATTTCTGGTGGGTGTTTTGATAATTTCAGACTATCATGGCATTCTTTCTTGGCCAAATAATCCTATAGTCCTGAAACTCTTCCCGTTTCCTATTGATTGTTACATCATCGCTGCTTAGGAAACATGGCCTCTCATTTAAGCTTTTGACCTAACAAGGCAACTTTTATATGTTGGTCAGAAAAATATGCGTGTTAATTTTGGTTCAAGATATGTAAACAAAGTCATAAGCAATGTGGAAAATTCAAGAAAAAAAATGGATTTCTAAATTAGATGATTTTTAACAGAAAAGACTATCCAACTGCCTGGAAGGCATATTTTCAGCTGCTGTTTAATTTGTGAGTGAGATGAATATGCAAACTGAACATACCGCTTAATTGGCCTTTACAAGGGAGACCGATAATGCAGAAACGTTAATTATTTCAGCTTTACAGCTGAGTCTGAAAAGGAGAAACAGGAGTGGATTGAAGCTGTGCAGCAATCGATAGCAGAAACTCTCTCTGATTATGAAGTAGCTGAGAAGATTTGGTTCAATGAGTCCAACAGGAGCTGTGCAGATTGTAAAGCCCCGGACCCTGACTGGGCATCTATCAATCTCTGTGTTGTCATCTGTAAGAAGTGTGCAGGTAATTAGCGATCAGTTAGGCTCATTACCGTGTGGTGGTAGATTGGCACTGAATGCTCTTTATTGTCATACATAATGTCTCCCAGCTAATGGTTGTGAAAAATAACAACAGAGAAAGCTTATTACATTGAAATCAATTTTAGGAATGCAATTCTAAACTTCTCTTATGCATGACTTAGATATAAAAATTGATTTTTAAGCATGTAATCGTTTTGCTGTGCCTACTGGTCCATGTATGGATTTTTAAAAGTGTTGAAATTTTTAGATTTTAGGTGAATGTGTTTCAGAATGTCCCCTAAATGCGCTTGCTCTTTTTGTATGATCTGTCCTTTTTTCCCCAGTCATATTTTGGAAGACCTATTTTTCCCATCAAGGTTGTTCTGAGCTGTAAAACTTGGTGCGCTGGATCTATCTCTTACAATGAGAACTGTTATATAGAAGCATTTTCCAGGCGTATTGAAGTTGATGAGAGTAACCAGGGCTATCACTGGTTTTCTCACTGTGACCTTAACGCTTTACAGACTATCTGATAGCTCATTCATTGTATTTGGAAGCTCAGACAATTGTCCAAGTGAGTGGAGGCAGTGGACCCCAGCTTAGGCATGTGATCATGGAGGTCTTGGAGAAAGCTAGCCACAGCCCAAACGTTACTTCATCTTTTCAGCTCTGTGAGGTCATGTGCTGGTGCTGGGGATTAAAAAGGTGTATAAGATGTGGCATTTCCTGCACAAATATATAAATAGTAATTACAATAGAGGGTCATAGGGCAAGAGTAGAGTAGAGGTTTCACTGACAGAACAGAGAGGAAGAGCCCCTGCCTCAGCTCAAGCAAAGACAAGGACAGGTGCCTCAAACCCTCAACACTCCTCTCCATCTCCATGCTACCAGGTCTCTCATCATATGAGGATAGACTTCCTCACGAGCTGATCAACACCATCAATTGCAGCAACAAAAAGCATCATTTAGTCCCGCCCTGCATTTTTTCCCACCGTTTTCTCCTCTCTGGTCTCATTAGAAGAGAGAGCCTTAGTGTTGTCCAAGGCCATTCTTGCTCTTCTGCTCCCTTTCTTCTCGCCTTAGGATCTCACCCCATCACTTATTCCCTCTCTCTGTAACTATTCACCCGTGGTTTCTAATGTGTCCTGTGAACACTGGCGTCCTGACAACCCCTCCTTCCCTTCTATGTAGCAATCTCTGGCCCTTTTTCGTTTAATAGACAAATACTTTCAAGAGTAGTAGTTTGCACAGGTTTTCCTCATTTCTTTAACTTCCTAGTTTTTCTTCGGCATTGTAATCAGCCTCCTTTTCTTTCTACTCCAGTAAAAATATTGTCACCACATATACTAATGTATATTTTAACACTCCATTTCTGTGTGGTCAGGTCCTGTCTTTATTGCCTTCTCTGCAGCGTTTCACACTCTTGCCCAATCTGTCTCTCCATGACTTACATCCTCCCTCAGCTCCCGGGAGACCATTGCCTCTTGTTGTACTCTTACTACTCTGGTCACCCTTTTTCAAGTTACTTTTTCTGCCTGCTCCTAAAATATGTGTGTCCCCTTGGATGACATCCTCAGTTCTCTTTCACTCTGATGTTCCTGAGTGATGATATTTATCATTGAAATTCAGCACTCACTTAAGCAGATGATGCTCATTCTTTTGGAAACCACACTGTTCTGTCTACCTAGATAGAGGTAGAGATTCTACTGGAATCTCTCCTTGGATTTGCCCAAGATACCTCAAAAATGCCATGTTAAAAATGGAGCCCTCATTGCTGCCCAACTCCTTGCAGTTTTAGCTGTACGTTCTCCTATATCCCAGATCTTTGTCCGAAGCAGTACTATCCACCTTACATTCAAGCCTAAAACCCGAGAGACCCTTTTGACCCTTGTCCTTCCCTTCAAGTCCACCAAGTCCCATCAGTTTTATTTGCTCAGTGTCTCTATATCTGTCCTCCATTTTGTTTCTCTTCCTGCTGACTCAACTCAGCATCTGTTATTTCTTGTCTAGGCTACTCCAGCATCTCTCCCGGTTTTTCCTACTGGTACTTCAAAGTTTGACCCCTGTTGCCTCTAGGAAGTCATTTAAAATGCGAACTTGTGCAAATTCCTGTCATGGGAATTCTAGGGTTTTGTGCTCTGAGTGGTTTCCATCTCAAAGAAGGGAGGAAAGGAGCCTCTTCCCTAATGTAGAGAGAATAAGCTTTCATGCTCAGAATTCAAAAGGTCCTTATGATCAAGGATAATGTCTTGTATACCTTTTTTCCTTCTCAGAAAGAAAGCATCTGACATGTGCCTGAGTGCCCAGTAATGGGTGACTCATACCGCAGAGTTGAATTGATGAGACTAGAATACTGGCTGTTATTTTCTCAATATTCTCTTCCAAACTAACAGAATAAAGAATTCACTTCAGATTTTTAAGTACATATTTATTAAAGTTGTAGCTAGTTTTTTTTGAGAGTAGAGGGATAATATCTGTATTCATATACATGTAATTTACACAGACCCATTATAAAATGTTTTCAGGTACCTACGATTTCTAGTTAATTGCCAAATGATGGAAAAATTATATGTATGTACACATGCACACATACAAGCATACACACAAATATCCATGTATACACACTTGTAAAGGTGTAGTTTTATACCAGTACAGGGTGGTGGGTGATGAAGGTGTTTGCTGCTGTCCTCACTGTGCTTGCCTATGATTTCTATATAATTACCACCACTCCTGTAGGGTGGAAATCCTATATTTGTGCGCTTTAAGTTGAAAATATGTATAAATACACACATCCATGTACTTGTACATATACATTAAAAAAAACATAGAATTCATTTACATACGAATTAAAATTGAAATGCAACTGTTTTTTGACTTCAGGACAACATAGATCTTTAGGACCAAAAGATTCCAAGGTTAGAAGTCTCAAAATGGATGCCAGCATTTGGAGCAATGAACTCATCGAGGTAAGTCGGATTTAACTGGGGCAGTGGTGAGCAGAGGTCTGGGAGGAGGCATGCGGGGGGGTGCTATGCCTTTGTTTAGGGGTTCTTTGATTAAGTTTTCACCACACTATAAAAATGGCTTACAGTCTGTTTGATAGTAACAGCTCTCTACTTTAACTTTCAGAATGCTTCCTAAATGAGATAGTTATTTTAAAAATAAAAGTACAGGGAGCTTTACTAGTAATAGCTACTTTTCAAGGCTTGGCAGCTGTTCTGTTAAGCCAGAATTTACGTTCTTTCTTTTTCACCAGCATGGATAAAATATTAGAAAAGTGATGAAAACATTGGGCAAAATTAGCATTCTTTATCTTGGCCAAGTTCAGTCATTAGCTGCGATCATGTCTAATTTACTGTCTCCAGATTCCATTTTCTGCCTGGGCTTTAGCACCACTCTCAGCCGCATTAGCCCACCTACTCAGCCTTGCGAGCTTCAAAAAATAATAATGCTTTTGCTGTAATTTGTGTGGCTTGCAATTTCTTTACTTGCTCATCTTTTACCACAATTAAGAGCCCCTAGACTGTATTTAAAATAGAAATAGCATCTGCCTTCACACTCCATCTTCCTGAGAGAGTTGAATCTTTCTTGTGTTTTTGCATATTTTATACTGTTACATTTTAATTTGTAATGTGAGTCAGTTTTCTGCAGATTTAAATGCATTTTAGGAACTGATATGTTTTGTAATTTTTTGATAATTCAGCTTTTTATTGTCATCGGAAATAAAAGAGCAAATGACTTTTGGGCTGGTAATCTTCAAAAAGATGAAGAATTACACATGGACTCACCAGTAGAAAAGAGAAAAAACTTTATCACTCAGAAGTACAAAGAAGGAAGATTCAGAAAAACCCTTTTGGCATCTCTCACCAAAGAAGAGTTAAATAAGGTACCCGATAAATTATAACAATAGACATGGATTTTAATATTTTTTAAAAAGACATGTGCCAAGGATTTTGTAAAGATGTAAAAAAATACTTCACTAATTGAATTTATTTTCTTCTGTGAGATTGCACCAGTGATTGTCCCGTGGTTTCACTTAAGGGCTCTATACCAATAGCAGGTAAACTCTTCGTCCATAACTGAGGTTGCAGCTAACTTTAGGTAAACCCCGTTTTTCTTAAAACTTGGACAACTTTGGGCCGGCCGAGTGGCGCGATGGTTAAGAGCTGGCTTGGGACGCCAGAGGGCCCCGGTTCGGATCCCACATATGAGGGCCAGTGACACTGCCCTCTACAGCTAAGATGCTGAACAACAGCTCAGCCGTGAGTTGCTGGCGACGGCGTGGGCTGCAGCCCCTGTGGCAGTGGGTTGCCATGGGCTACCGTATGTAGCCAGCAGCCAGCGTGAGCGGCCAGCAGCCGCAGTGAGCGGCCGTCCAGAAGCCGGTGACTGATGTGCCTCACCCGGGAAGAGTGCAATGATGGTGCCAACTTGGGCCAGTGAAGCAACGTCCTCCACAACTAGACTGAAGAACAAAACGACAGCAACTTGTCTGTTCCCCTTCCCCCAATTCCCCAGCACTGTTCCCATCCCCCCAATTCCCCAATAAAAATCTTTAAAAAAAAAAAAAAAAACTTGGACAACTTTTCCGCCTTCAGGGACAGGATGCCAAATAGAACTTCAGCTTGTACGTTGCTGACTTGGTGGTACCAAAATTAACATCATTTACTCAATTTATTGTTACAGTAATTGTTTGTTTAGTGCCCTTGGATTGAACTGTCATTTGCCTTTGCCTGAGTGATTCCAGATCTTTTTCTGACCATTTTATGCTGCCCATTTGGTTGTTACCCTTTTTGGCAAAGGATTTGTTAAGCATCCTTCCCTCCTTTCTTTTTCAAATTGCTGTTTCAACTTCTGTGTCAGGAGGCTCTTCTATGTATAGATATCTAAAACATATACTTTTATATGCCTATAGTTTTTATGCTTTCATGGTTCTTAATTCTTCAGTATGCTTTAACAGCAGTACTTATTAGAGAAGGATCCCCAGGTAGGTAGCATTATGCTGAACATTTTGGAATATAAAAAAGTCCTTTTTCATAGTTCTCTAGACATTATAAGATATATACAATTTATTTATATTACTCTTCTATTGGGTTAGTTCCCATAAACTACAGTTTTCTTTTTTGTACATCTTTGATATTAGTAAAGTGAGGCCACCAGTTGATAGTAAAGCAGTTGCTCACAGTCAATTCAGGATTCAGGATGGGTACATAAGGTAGGGTACCTCAGGGAGATGGGAAGGAGTGGGGAACCATGTATTTATATAGGTTATTATTAACATTTGATTTTGTTTATATAGGTAATTATTAAGACATTTGTTTTGTGGGGACTAATTATATTATTAAAATAACTGACCAATTATACTAGACATGTATGGAATAATGATAACAGGGTATCATAGACCAAGGGTTATAATTAATCTGATTCTGTGTACCAGAGGTCCCTAATAAATAAGTACATAAATAGGAATTTGTGGATTTGGGGAAGTCATTGGTGATGTTGGAGAACCAGGACATATCTTCTGCCAATGGTTTCTCTCTTTGATGGTGATGGGAATCTTATCAGTAGATAAATTTACTGATGTCTGCAAATGAGGTCTTATCTTCCACACCACACAGTTCCCATGAGCTAAGACATTAGGTTTTATTTATTTATTTATTTATTTTTTAGCTGAGCCATCCTGCCACCTGTTGGCAGCTCAGCAGCTGCTCAGCTCGGGCCGGGACTCGAACCGCTGTTGCTCAGAGCTCAAACTCTTGAGCGAGCTCTTAACCAACTGAGCCACTCAGCCGGCTAGGTTGGTTTTACATTAGTTACTAACTATCCCATTCTTCCTAAGAATGTTATTGGGAAGCCTAGCTATTAGGATTTACTTACACATTGGGCTTCTTAAATATGACACTCTTAATGGCAACAATTTTTCCAAAAATGTATTTATTTTATTGAATAGATACTTTGATACTTTTTAAAATTAAGATATAGTTTACATATAATGTTGTATACGTTTAAGGTGTTCATCTTGTTGATTTGATACATTATATATTGCAATATGATTGCCATCATAGCTTTAGCTAACACCTTTATCACATCACATAATTATCACTTCTTTTTAGTAGTGAGAACATTGTGTGTAATACAGTATTACTGACTATAATCTCTATGCTGTGCGTTGGATCTCCAGAATTTATTTACCTACTAGTTGCAAGTTTGTACCCTTAAATACCGTCTTCCCAATTCCCCCACCCTCCCACCCTCCAGCCCCTGGTAACCACCATTCTACTCCCTGTTTTTCTGAGTTTGCTTTTTTCATATTCCACATATAAGTGCTATCATACAATGTTTGTGCCTTTCTCTGTGTGACTCATTTCACTAAGCATAATGCCCTTAAGGTTCATTTATGTTGTCACAAATGGTAGAATTTCCTTTTATCTCATGGCTGAAAAATATTCATGAGTGTGTGTGTGTGTGTGTGTGTGTGTGTGTGTGTGTGTGTGTGTGACATCTTTATCCATTCATTTGTTGATGGACACTTAGGCTGTTTCCATATCTTGGCTGTTGTGAATAATAATCCTGCAGTGAACAAGAGAGTGTAGGTAACTTTTCAATACCCTGTTTTTATTTCCTTTGTATAAAAGTGGGATTGCTGCATCATAAGATAGTTGTCTTTTTGAGTTTTGAGAACTCTCTGTATTGTTTTCCCGCGTGGCTCTCCAGCAGTGCACAAGGGTTCTCTTTCCTTCACCTCCTCGCAGACACTTATCTCTTCTCCTCTTGATAATAGCCATTCTAATAGGTGTGAGGTGAAACCTCGTTATGGTTTTGATTTGCATTTGCCCGGTGATTAGAGATATTGAACACCTTTTCATGTTCCCGTTGGTCATTTGGATTTCTTCTTTGGAAAAATGTCTGTTTAGTTCATCTGTCCATTATTTAATCAGGTTGCTTTTTTCTTTTTCTTTTTTAATTGAGTTGTATGTTTTCTTTATATATTTTGGATATTAACCCCTTATCCAACCTGTGCTTTGCAAATATTTTCTCTTATTCATTAGGTTGCCCTTTTATTTTGTTGATTGTTTTTCTGTGCAGGAGCTTTTATTATTTTTTTTACATTTTTTTTATGTGTCTTCAAATTCTTTTTTAAACGTTTTAAAATTTTTATTATTATTAGTTTCAGGTATACAAAACAATGCAATAGTTATCCTTTTCACCCCTCACAAAGTGACAGTCCCCCTTCCCCCAACCAGTGCCCCCTGCAGAAGCTTTTTAGTTTGATGTCACTCCACTTACTGATTTTTGCTTTTGTTGCTTGTAATTTTGGTGTCATATCCAAAAAAGCTCACTGCCAAGACTGATGTCAAGGAGAGTACCACCCATTTTCTTCAAGGAGTTTTACAGTACCAAGTTTTATGTTTAACTCTTTAATAAATTTTGAGTTAATTTTTGTAGTTGTGTCCAATGGGGTCTAATTTCACTTTTTTGCCTGTGGTTATCCAGTTTCCCAACTTCATTTGTTGAGGAGACTGTCCTTTCCCCACTGAGTGTTCGTAGTGAGTGGATATTTATTGCACACGTAACAATTGTTGAGTTCTCTTTTAGGCACTGGGGCTACGACTGTAGTGAAAAGTAGATGTGTTTCTCATTCGTGAGAGTGACCTTCATTCAATAGTGAAGACTGACCATAAACAGATGAAATTCAATACTTGTACCCTTGTGCATACAGAGTGCTGTGAAGGAAAATAATAGAGGGATGGGAGAGAGCATGAGAAGAAATGCATAGGATTAGATTGGGAGGGTAATAGTTGAAGACTACTACAGTGGAAGGGACATTAGCTTTTAGATTTTCTAACTTCATTTTGCAGGTGTGAAAAAACTAAGACCCAGAGAGGAGAGTGGGGTTGCCTAAGATCACCTAGCAAATTAGTACAAAGTCAGGTACAAGAATCCAGGCGTCTTGATTTTGGTGTGAAGGAAATTACTGGAGGTCAGCTGGACCATGGTAGGAAAGATAGGCGCTTTTTTTAATGGTAGACCCTCCAGGTGGGAAGTGTGAATGTGTCCTGGGACTTCTTGGCCCTCCACTCACACTGAGCCTCCCACTGGGATCAGGAGCGATTACCCTGAAGTTGCATTACAGAGGGCAAATTACTAGTGATCCATCCAGATGCCCCAGTCAGAAAGGAGGTAAATGGTGACCCTGAAGTTGAAGAGTCAGGGGGAGTCAGGGTGCCAAAACCAGAGAGGGTTTGGAAGCAAATGGGAAGCCAATCAAGTGAAGCAGGAAGAGAGGATGACGAGAGATGTGATGGAAGCTTATTACTGCAAGGAAAAAAGAAATCAGGTCCCAGCAGTTCTACTGTTGGTACAGTGATGACATATGTCAATAATGTTTTATTGTGTCTGCATACCGTTCCTCTTTCCTACAGACCTCCCTCCAAAAGATTCTTTCAAATTACCAAAACACAGCAATAATTTAAAGATTCTACGGATCCTGATTAGGCTGGAAAATACATACGTACAACATTCATATGACAAAACATTTAGTGGCTATGTCATTGTATTACATTTGAAATATTTTGAATTTTCTGGGTACCGGTCATTATCATAGTACGTAAGTATAAAAAATGTCTTCCAAACAAGTAATGATGGCTTAGACACTTTGGAACACCACAGCACCAAAACAATGAAGTGAGACTTGGAGGTCTTGGGTTATAACTTAAATTCTTACAAAGCAGACCTTTGGTGCCGATTACTTAATTCAGGGCATACTTATTATTAGATTTCTTCATTAAAAAGGAATACAAACATCATCTTATAAGTGCATGGTCAGACTTGCACTCATTTTAATAGCTAGAATGGTATTTTCTTCCCTTAAAAAGTATGTTTTATTTGAATGACCAGGCTCTGTGTGCTGCTGTAGTGAAACCGGATGTTCTAGAAACAATGGCTTTGCTGTTCAGTGGAGCAGATGTCATGTGCACCACTGGGGACCCCGTGCATAGCACCCCCTACCTGCTGGCCAAGAAGGCAGGGCAGAGTCTGCAAATGGAATTTCTCTACCACAACAAGTTCTCAGGTGAGTCCCTGTCTCTTCAGTAGCCTGGATTCTTCTCATATGTCCCTAAGTAACTGAAGCACAAATAGAAGAAGAACCATCACAATGCAGACAACAATGTAATTACCCAAAAGTTGGAAGATTTTTAAGACTGTATTTTCTTTCATTTTAAGGAAAAACGTTTAGGAAATAAATATTTTCTGTTTCTTTAATCTTACCAATGGAAGATTAAATCAGTTAACCCCACATAATCGTTTTCATCAAAACTAAATCTGATTTCCCTATATGCATAGTAAATACAGCTCAAGTGCTTCTTTTGCAGGTATTTTGCAACATAAAATAAATATCTTTGCATATTTATTTCTGTGGCATATTTGAAGTAGCGTTTCTTCTCGCTCAAAGCTCACGTACGTGTTCATAAGCAAAGGGAAAGCTGTTTGCATTTTAGATTCGAAATGCATTATTTCTATCTGATTCTTCTAGATTTTCCTCAACATGACATTCATTTTGAAGGCGGATTAAGTCAAGAGACTTCCCAGTCCACGTTCCTCTGTGACTTTTTGTATCAGGCTCCTTCTGCTGTTTCTAAAGCCTCTTCAGAGAAAAAACTGCTTGAAGGTATCCTTTCTGCTCCTTTTAGATTTTATCTGATAAAACTTTATTTCATTATCAAAACAATTAGGTTAAATTTTAGTATTTTTTTCCCCTTAAGATCTTAGATTTGATCTTGTAGTAGAGAAATATATTTTTTTTGAGGATGTATAAATGCTTCCAGGCACAGCTAATATTTTATGAACTGCAACAGGGATTGACGACGGAGCTGGAATGCTGAGTGGAATGAATTCTCAACAGAATTCACTGATGTCTACCTTCGGGCCAACCAATTCTGTTTCAGGATGTCGGGGTTATTCCAAAGAAATGTGAAACTCAGCCCTTTCCTTTAGGGCCAGACACCCTAACTGGGGAGATAATATAAATAAATGTCAACCCGTAGGAAGAACTTACAAGTTTCCAGTAAACATTCTATCAGCATACTAGGTGATATCAAGTGATTCAGTTTGTTTTGATTGCGTGCGTGCATGTGTGCGCGTGCACTTGCACGTACGTTCATGTGTGTTATATAAGTCAAATAAAGCTTATGCTTGATTTCCAAATAATGATGGGGATTAATTTGATTTAACAACCTATCCTAGGTTTGGAGGATTATCTGAGCAGGGTCCCAGTAAGCTTTTTATCCATCCTTGTGTCAGGCGTGTGCTGGGCATTAGGGATACGGAAATGCCTCAGCCACAGGCATCGTGCTCAAGCTGCATGTATTTGAACTAATTTTAGAAATCTAGGCAGGAAAATATGAGATCTGTCGTACTGGAACAAAGAGAATTTGAAAGCAATTAAGCTGTCCAGGGCAATTGATGGTGGGCGCTCAGAGGCTCCGGAGCCTAGCGTGAGTTCCCTAGGTGGTATAATCCAGCTATATTACTGGATAAAGCTAACAATAGGATGAAAAACTCACTCTAGGGTGTTAATCCTGATCCCTGTGCCTATGAAGTGATTATTTCAGTATAAATGCTTTATTAAAAAAAAAAATCGTATCCCTAGGCAGAATAATATTGGGATTAACTGTATATTAGAGTTTTCTGAAAACAGTAGCTATTCTTTAGTGAGCATGTACTATGTGTAAGGCATTGCTTTAGGCACTTTACATACATTATTGTAATCCTCATAAAAACTCTGCAAGATAGTTGGTGCTGTGCTGATTGGCACATGAAAAATGGAGAGCTCAGCATGAAGCAGAGTTTTACACCTGAGTGGTGTTATGACTATTATTGTAACACTTAGGCCTTGGTCAAAGTGTCATGGCTGGGTGATGCTAAGATGGCAGAGCACTTTTATCGTGTGGATTGAGATGTCTTTGGTTCTTTTCGGTAATTGGTTTTTAATGTCTTCCTTAACCTAATCAATAAAAATGTCAAATTTTGCAGAGATGTTCTCCTTATCAGTGTTTACCCTTAAGTAGTCAAAAGTTGACTGATCAGAAAGAGGGAGAAAGTACATGAATAATCTGTGAATTGACTATAACATTTATTAAAGTAATTGAATACTAAGGCAATTGATGGACTGTAAATAAGTTTATAAGTTTTTTAAGGATATTTCTTCTAAATAGTTGGAGATCTAGACCTACCCTTAAAACCACTTATACAAAGATGAAATAGGGAATTTGAAATGTAAGATTTTCTTCCTAAAGCTTTCCAATATATCATAGGCACCCTGCAGACTAAAAATAAGCTTTTAGTTATTTTTTTTCGACAATTGTAGTTATACTACCTGTAGACTTACCTGTTTTTGTTTTTGTTTTTTCTTGAAATAGGTCATTTTTCTTAATCACTTGATGAATGAATTGATGTTTTAAACTTGTAACTAAGTCATTGTTTACATTTATTTTTTATAAATTAACTATAGATTTTTTTTTTGTTGTTAAAATTTATTTCAAAAAACAGAGACTGGTGCATTCTCTGTACGTATAATTAGGGATGTTTTCTCATTTTGGTACATTCTGTTTTAAGTAATATGAGATTGAACTTTTGTACTTTGCTCTGTAGTACACAGAAAATATTTCATTGGAAAGTAATGTCCTGGTAAGGTATTCTTTAATGGTCTTAATTTCTTCCCATCCAGTCTGTCAGCAAGCTCTATCATTTCAAACTCACAATAGATCATGAAGCAATTGAGTACCTCCTTCCCTGCTAACATCATCCTAGTCTCAGCCACATGTCCTGCAGGGTCTGTAACACCCCTTATTTGTCCTCCAGTATCTGCCCTAGCTTTCCTCCCAGCCATTCTCCAAAAAGCGAACTTACTGACTGTTACAAATGTAAATCAGATCCAGTACTTCCAGCGTTCAAGTACCTTTAGCAGCTTCTCACTCCAGAATATAGTCCTATTCCTTTTATGGCCCACAAGTCCTTCTCATACCTCCCTTTCGTCTCATATTCTGCCTTCCTGTGCTCCATCATGCCCGGCCGTACTGGTTTCCTGTCTGTTACTGCAACATGGCATGCTCCTTTCTACCTCTCCTGGACCTTTGCGATTGCTGTTCACTCTGCAAGGAGGCCCCTTCCCCCCATTCTAGCGCCTTCTCATCTTTCAGAGGTCAATTCGGTGCTACCTAGTCAGAGAGACCTCTTTGGCGCCCTGCTAAAGTGCGTTCCCACTGCTGGCTCTTCTCTTTCACAGTCAGCTGCTCGTTCTCTTTGTAGCACTTAGCACAGGAAGGTGATCCCTCCTTCACTGATTTCTTCTTTTCCTCTGAAATTAAAGCTCAGTGAGGCATCAGCATGTGCTGGCTTTTCCAGGATTATTAAGTCTTGGGTGCCTAAAACAGTGTTGATATATAGTAGCCATGTGATAACTTTGTTGAATAAATGACCATTCCTCTAATCCTATTACTACCAGTGCAGAAATGCAATATTTTCTTCATATTTTGGATTTCACCTGCAAGAAACAATATATAATTGATGTCACAAAACATATTTTGTTCAGAAAGAGCCTACTTGAAAATGAAGAAGAAAAATGTCAAAAACTACCAAGAAGCGTAACGTCCTGGCATTTTGGGTTTTTTTCTTTTTCTCTCCCGCCTCAAGATTCTGTAGTGTTGTTACTGTGATTGAGCACCAGCTTTATGGAAAAGATGAATTATTTGGAAAGATTTAGAGATGAAAGTGTGGTTGTCACCCTTTGCCTCTGCATGGCAAGCACCTGCACTGCGGCACTCCATCAGTGCCTGTCAGGACGCCACAGTGCAAAGTGATTAAAACGCAGGAAAAATCGAGGAGTAAAATACATGTGGTCCTTCAGAGAGTTACGGAGGCTTCCGACTGTCGGTTCAGATTTTCAGGATGGGAAGCTCTTTTGGCCTCTGGTTATGAAGACTGATCTGTATTTTTCTTTTTCTTCTCAATTTAGTGTTCATGAAAAGAAAGATGGATAGCTCTTGTTAAGCCTAAGTACAGAGCTGAGTAATAGCATCCTGGATTTGTTTTCTGTTCTCTCTCCTCAACCGTATTTTTTCCCCCTTAGCATCTCACTCTGATTTGTTGACACAGCGTTTGATTTTTTAAAAAAGAAAGTGGTTGATGGGGTTTACTAGAAACTCTATATCTCTTTTTATATTTCATTCCATAAGTTAGCACTGAGGAAGTTTGAAGTGCTCTTGTTTTATAAATGCCTAGCTTGCATAGTTTTATAATTTATGTTAAATGAAAAGGGTGCCTAGTGTGTATTTCTATTTTTAGTGGATGCCGGATACCATCAGTTTAGGAAATTCTTTATCATGAAACAATTTCATGGTTTCCAAAAATAAAGTTTCCCCCTAACTATCTCAGATTTATTGTGCACATGTTTACAAGAAGTAACATGCTCTACCCTAATACATTGTAAAAATGGACGTTCATGTAACAAGCATGACACAGGCACAGAGGGCGGCATGTGAAGTGGTTAACAGGGTAGATTTCCAAACTGACGGCCTGGCTGCTACCTCCAGCCCTGATGCTAGGTAGTTGTATGATTTTGGAAAGTCATTTTGTGCCTGTGAACAGGATACGAAGAAGGGGCATGTGATCATAGAACTGACCTAATAGGGCTGTTCTGAGGATTCAGTGAGTTAGTGGATAGAAAATGTGTAGAATAATGCAAGGCACATACATACGATGAAGAGGGGAGGGAGAGGAGGAGCGGCAGAGGGGCCATCTGTATCCAGAGCGGCGTCTGGTTTCCCGTGAGCCTTTGAGCTGAGGCATATCCTTCAGGCTGTAGCTGACAACCGACCTACCCAACCATAGTACCCACATCACTTCATAGTCGAAATTCAAAGACCACTCCTGGAGTCCTTTATCTGTGCTTGAGTAAATTCCAGTAACAGTTGTCTTCCCTGATTTAAACATTAAGATTCACTAGAGGGAATGACCAACCCTCACAGCCAGTCCAACTAACCATACCCGTGACCTCTTACCTATTAAACAGCTTGCATTCTGAGGGCTACCCATTGAGAGGGACCCCAATTTTGCTTCTGGTGGATGTCGTCTGATAACTGATTAACAGTAAGACTCCTGTAGCAGACGGGGTGTCATGGATGGTATTGACATGTCTCAAGGTCAGAGTCAGGAGAGCATGTCTGAATTGGCCTAAGCAGACCAATGTAATCCAGTATGAATTTTGTTAGAGCTTTTCATTGCTTCCCAAATGAAAGGAACGTCAAGATTTCCTATTACAGCTTTGTTATTACAAATCCTCAAAGGTAGTATCTGTGCCTCTCGTCTGACCTCTGGCCTGTTTTCACTTATAAAAATGAAGCCAGTGAAGGGTTATAGGGACGATAATGCTGTAGGACTAAATCTCGTGAAGCTCCTATTTTTAACTTAAAATGAGTTTGTACTTACCTTTTTAAAGAGGTCTGTCATTTGTTTCCCATTAGAATTTACATAATTAGATTCTGCATTCACATTTATTTTATGCATCATGTATTTGGCACTTTTTGTCTCAGACCTTCCAATGGCTCCCACTTGTCTACTGAGAAAGGTACCAACTCCTGAACACCTGTCATGTGAGACCCCTGGGGCCTG